TTCAAAGGACAAAGCATGCGTTGGCGTTGAATTTCTGTCTCGTGCCAAGGAGTTTTCGTAACTGGGCCGCCCCAGGTAATGATGGCAGGGCAGGCATCGGCTCCCCAGTCCGTGGTGGAGACACGTGAGCTGTCACGGCGGGTAACGCTGTGTCCTTCGCATGGTCTCCACGCCAGCGTCTGCCACCATCACCGCCCCGCCCCAGGTAATGATGGCAGGGCAGGCATCGGCTCCCCAGTCCGTGGTGGAGACACGTGAACGGTCACGGCGGGTAACGCTGTGTCCTTCGCATGGCCTCCACGTCAGCGTCTGCCACCATCGCCGCCAGCACATTTCCGGTGCGCGGAGACGGCGTTTCGCTCGATTACCTCTTTTGTCACCATCTCAGCTGGTCTGACGTGCCTTGGATAACTTGAGTTGTCGGACTGCGCTTTGAGCAGCTGCGCGGACGGACGCGAACAGGTGTCCGGCACTCGATGTGGAACCAGGTCAAGGTTTCAAATGGAGCGGCGTTGGTCCGTACACCTGCGACGCGAAAGCGGCCGCTCTAGCCCAACGGCAGCGCCCGGTGTGGTGGTGTGCGAAACTGGCCGCTCTAATCGGACGGGAGCGTCGGGTGTGGTCGCACGCCCCCACAACACCAACAACGCGATGGTCAATGTGAGCCGCCGCGAGTGGTTTACAGGCCTCGGCTGTGTCTGCACCAGTCTGTTGTTCGCGTCCAGTCCTACCCGGCCTCCGTGTCTTCACGCTCGTACAGCAGTCTCCAGTTGAGTTGGTACTTCGTTTCTTTAAAGGAATATTTCACATCTGAAAACACTGAAATAGTCATCGGATATGATGAAACAAACTCCATTGTAGCTGTTGTTATACTTAACTAGCAGGGAGGGCTGCTCCAGACACGTCAGTTTCTCTGATTAGTAAATGTTAGCGCGTCGCCGGCTGGGTGTGCCAAGAGGCCTCGGGCGGCATCCGGGGGCCTTACAGAGTCGCTGTCCGATTGACAGCGATCACCCCTCCTGAAGACTTGGAATCGCCCGGAGGTGACCATTTTCCGCCCGCAGTCGCCAGAGTTGTGGTACTTGTGCGCCGTTAGATAGATATTTTATTATTTTTGTGCGCGCCGTTAGATATTTGCCAAAATTGTTTTCTTTAGAAATCATATATCTGGCGTAGATTTGTGGCTGCCAGGTGCGATTACGTCGATTTGTCGGAGTTTGTCGATCATTTAGTCCCAGAGCTGCTTCGTCTAATATAAGCACTCGCTTCATTGCCAAGATTGTGGTACTTGTTTTTAGCTGAAATGTCTTGGGACCGGGTCGCCGCCTTTTCTTTATTCGGCGTTTGATTGCGATGGCAGAAACTTCGAACACGTCCATGGCCAGCCTGCAGATGGGCGATGCCGTCGGCAATCGCGAATGGATGGAGATGGTGTTATGGCCAATTTGTCGAGTCGGAAGAAAATATTGAAACGCATTCGTAGCCAAGCAGTGGTTTCATGATAACAGATGATATAAATGTGTGAAATAATTCGTTTTGATTGCAACACGTTTTTGTCCTTATTGCATTTATATCTCTTTGAACGTCTTCTTCCAGAAACCATACCATGGTCTTGGCATAATACAATATACAAAAGTTACATACACGCGTCGACGTCGACTATGGAGATTGCAGGCGGCTACAACAAATATACTCCTCAATACGTCATTCTTTGATTACGTCGTCGTGCCTCGCACAACTATCATTAAGAGCCATTTGACGGCCTCTATGTCTGGAAATCATGCTCACCGATGCTAGATATAAAGGACTCAGCCATTATATTCTTTTTGGCCTTGATCACCGCATGGCTTTTGAAATGGTACAATACGAATGGCGTTTTTATGACGTCATGAATATCAAGGTGGCATTCAAATACTCCCCCAAAATAGCCTCTCACATCCTTGCGGTGTTTAAGGTCAGGAATCAGAGGGCTTTAGGTGTTAAAAAAGCATAGCCGTGAGCTGCATCAAAAGGTATTCAATATGGCTATTTCATTGTAAAAACCAGTACAAATGTGAAACAATCCTTTTCAGCTGGAGCATCCGCGAATGATGGTCGAAGTTTACGGCATTTGTGTGACGCCGTCCGACGAGAACTGCGAAGCGTTTGATAAAGGTGTTTGCTGCGATTGCTCAGCCTAACTAATATACCTCCAGCCTCCAGCGCAGGGCGCAGACAGCACTTCAGGTGTTCGTCTCCGCTCTCCCCTCTCTCTCTCTCTCTCCATCTCTCTCTCTCTCTCTCTCTCTCTCTCTCTCTCTCTCTCTCTCTCTCTCTCTCTCTCTCTCTCTCTCTCTCTCTCTCTCTCTCTCTCTCTCTCTCTCTCTCTCTCTCCCTCTCTCTCCTCTCTCTCTCTCTCTCTCCTCTCTCTCTCTCTCTCTCTCTCTCTCTCTCTCTCTCTCTCTCTCTCTCTCTCTCTCTCTCTCTCTCTCTCTCTCTCTCTCTCTCTCTCTCTTTTGGTCGGTTGTAATCTGTGATCGGAGGCAACAAAACCACCACATCCATTTTGTATTAACGAAGCCTGCGTTTGATCCCCTTATTTATGCGATCGATATTGTCTACGTGCTGCAAGCCACAGCACACAACGAACTTTTCATAAACATAGCCATGATCTGCACGCACCGGCGCATGGACTCCTTAGATTGAAAATCCTCCAGCGAGGTGGTAATAAATAATGTAAAGCCATCCTGTGTGTGATGTTTCAGCATGCAAGGAATGTGCATGCAAGTGATGCTCAATGACCAGTTCTCGAGGGGTACGGCCACCACAGAGGCCTTGATCGTGTGTGTCGATCGAATCGACGATGGCGAAAATGTGTGAATGTGTCTGCTATTCGCGTATTGCCGTGCACCCCTCGAACACGCTTTCGGATTCATTTGTAAGGGATCGACTCACCTGCCAGGCCACTGGTTTCGGAAATCACTATCACTTTCAACTGATTGACGGCATATGGGCGCCCCTGAGATGGAAAACAGCTGTTCTATATTCGTGGAGGTGAACGGCAGGCGTTCGTCACGAACGAACGCATTCGTCAGCTACAACTGCAAATTTTTTAGACGGGCCTCTTTTATTTGATAAGCAGCAAAAAGTCAATGAAATGATTTTCATTATCCACTCTTTATTTCACTCTCCTTTCACTCTCCTTTCACTCTCCATCTCATTCCACCCCATTGTGTCATCCCGGTGCATTTGAGCACATTTCGGTAAAGTTTTGGCAGCTGGGAATCGGACCCTGATCTCGTCAGGATCTCAGATGGCGAGCATCCAACACAGGCGGCGGCTGTGTTCAACTGCTGCGCGTTGCTGAGTCGGGGCCCGTGGTGCCTCGCCGGACGTCGGCACCAGGCCACCAGCGGTGGGCGCCTCGCTGGGCGTCGGCACCAGGCCACCAGCGGTGGGCGCCTTACCGGGCGTGGCACCAGGCTACCAGCGGTGGGCGCCTCACCGGGGCGTCAGCACCAGGCCACCAGTGGTGGGCGCTTCGCCGGGCGTCGGCACCAGGCCACCAGCGGTGGGCGCCTTACCGGGCGTGGCACCAGGCCACCAGTGGTGGACGCTTCGCCGGGCGTCGGCACCAGGCCACCAGCGGTGGGCGCTTCGCCGGGCGTCGGCACCAGGCCACCAGCGGTGGGCGCCTCGCCGATCGTTGGCACCAGGCTACCAGCGGTGGGCGCCATGCCGTCTCTGTACGGCGCCCACACCCCCCTGGTTAGGTCAGGTGAGAGGGTGTTAGGTAAAATTACCTCAGCTTAGATGGGGTCAGGTGAGTTCATTCGTTGACATTTCATGCCCTCACTGGGGAAAATGTTGGTTACGTTTCCAATGCAGTGTTGGTAAGGTCACGCGAGGTCAGCTGAGGCTAAGTGAGATACGCTGGTGATTGACCAAATAAAGTGTGGTTAGACGACGCCAGGTCAGATTAGTTACCTCATGTGTAAGAGATGCGATGCAGAAGAGCACAATGCAGTGCATTACATGACGGCTGGTCGCCTGAGTGCGGGAAGGGTGAGCTGGCTGCGATCAATAGGGAGGAGCTGACTGAGGTCAATAGCGGCGGATGGGGGGGGGGGGGGGGGGGCAACCAGGAACAATAACGCCAGCGCGGCCTGCGGCCTGCTTATAACAGAGCGGGCTGTGGACAATACTTAGAACCTACTGTAAACAACGGTGCTGGAGTCTGCTGCGGACAATATGAGGACGGGCCGTTCTGTCACATGCAATTAATAGTAGGCTGCGGGGTCGTAAAACACCGACAGTTACGGAGGATTTACAAAGATACATGGGCGTCGCCAGCTAATGTCAATGTGACAGTGGGCTGCAAGCGCAGCGAGGAGAAAATGATAAGACGTCGTCCGGGGAGCGCGAAGCCCATTACTGGCATCATCCGGCGTCGCCATCACGTGGGCCCGGTTGACATCTCAGATCTGTTGGTAGCTCCCGGCTGGATAGTGTTTCACGCCAAAATTCACCGAATTGAACGACGCCAGGCCATGCTTTCACCCATCCTTTTCATGAAAACGCGGAGCCCGCACCTCGGGAACGGTCCTGAAGACGCCGCAGCCAAGTTCCAGCCAGGTGAGAATCTCTGTCGCCCCGGCCGTGGACTGGCTGTCACCCTTCTGTCGCCAGCGACTGTACAGGCCAACTTCACCCATTCGCCGGGGTCCGGTCACACGCAGCGGACACCTGCAGGGCCGCACGGTCGAGTGCATTGTTGACTGACCGCCCACAAGTACAAACTTCCATGCGATAACAACATCCTTGGGATCCCACAGAAATTCTTGTAAGGGTGCAACAGATTTCGTCACCAGTAAGGGCAAACTGTCCTGCTCATATCGACTGAACGCCTCTTCAAGGTACTGTAGATCATGTCAACGACGCCCTGATACGAACCTGAAAACGGAAATGGGAGCCGTTTATGTAGTGACAAGAATGCTGACAGGCGGCCTGTTCTGTTTCAGGGGGGCGATGCCCTCGGCATCGGAGGAGCGCCGGCCGGCCAGTCCAGCCGAGGCCAGTCCGCGGACAGCGCCACATCTGTCAGCTGGGCCGCCCCTGACCTTTTCCGAACCGGCAGCCGATCCCGCGCGGCCGCCGCGCTCAACAGACTCGGCGCAGTCGGCGGACTCGACGTACTCGACGCGTCTGGTGGACCCGGCGGACTCGGTGCTGTTCACGCGGCTGGGCGAGACGCGCCTACGGCGGCTGGTGCACCCACTGGACGAGGGCATCCTCTGCAGCTTTGTGCGCTCGTTGCTGGTAGTGGTGTGCAGCCTGACGGTGGGCATCTGCCTGACGCTGGCGGCGCTGCTGGCGTACCCGGCGGCGGCGGCCGGCCGGCGCCTCGGCGTCCTCTGCTCTGCCTCACTGCGCCGCCTCTCGCTCAAGCGCCGGCTCGAGATGATGGCCAACCTAGTGGGGCCGCACGACGTCCAGTGGCTGGAGGCGGACGGCGGCGCCGCGTCGGAGCCCATCCACCACGCGCTGCTGCTGTTCGACGAGCAGTTCCGGCTGGAGGCGGCGCTGCAGGCGCTGGAGCCGCGGCTGCGGCATCACGCCGTGGCGCGCCTCTCGCAGCGGATCGTGCCGTTCGCCGGCGGCCGCGCCTGGGTCGCCGATGACGAGTTCGTGCTGGAAAACCACATGTTCGCTGCGCCGGCGGTGGCCGACCGTGCCGCGCTCGGCGCGTTCGTGGCCGGCCGCCTCGGCGAGCCGGTATCACTCGAGCGCTCGCCGTGGGAGGCCGTGGCCGTGCACGTGGCCGCCACGCGCGAGACGGCCGTGCTCGTGCGCGTGCACCACGTGATCTCAGACGGCATGGGCTTGCTGCGCGCGCTCTGCCACGTGCTGGCCGATACGCCGCCGGGTGCCGTGCCGCCCAAGGCCAACTTCGGCAGCGTGACGTACGCGCTCAACTGCCTGCGTGCGCTGTTCGTGACGCCCGTGACGCTCGCGCAGTGGCTGGTCTGCGCGCGCAGTGACGTCAGAGTTGCACGCGAGCCGTGGAGGACCGACGTCTGCCTGGGCAGCCTGGACTGGGAGCACCTGAACCAGGTGAAGCACGTGACCAAGCAGTCGGTGCACGAGATTCTGCTGTCGGTCGTAGCTGGCGCCGTGCGTCGTGAGTTGAAGCGCTCCGGCCTGCGTCTGCCGCCTAATCTGACGGTGAGCTGGCTCTGCCCGCACACAGTGGACATGCATGCATCGTTCTCACAGGTCAGTGTTTGATGGTAAACGGGCAGCGGACACTCGAGATCTCTTCATCGCCGGAATCATATTACTTGTATTTTAGCGGAATGTGGTGACGTATGCGCCGTTTAATTATAAATTAGAATAATAATCGGTTCCCGGATTACCAAAAATGTTCGGAAAAAACTGAACTCGTACAAAATCGTTGCGAAATAACGCTATTGCAACCAGAATTCAGCCAAGTTAAGACGCCGAAAACCAGATGTGTCAACTAGATACAAACAGGTTCAGAACAGTTTAAAAAACTTGCACTGTATTTGTATAAATGCCCGGCCGGAATTCGTGCCAGGGGCCACTTTGCTTTGGCAGTGCATTCGCCTTCAGAAGAGGACAGATTGAAGATCTCTAAAATCTTGGTATATTTGGCTAGGCGCTGATTGGTTGACGGAAGTGGCGTTTACATAACCTAAACGCTGATTGTTTTTTTTAGAATTGGAGCGCTGGAGCTCGCACGGACGCGGTATTTTCCAACCTTGAACTTTGCGAACTTACGCGGAGCGAGTGGAGGCCCCTGCGATTGTGATGCGTTTATTCTATTGCGGTTGCCAGTGGTGGACCGCGCTATAGCTAGGGAGGATGTCCTAATGTCAGAAATTTGGGAACGGCATGGTCAGTTGAGACGTTCCGTTCTTTGACAGCATCGTCCCATTTAAGACGCGCTAACGCTGGGCAGCGCGCGGTTTGCCGAAGTTTCGTATTTATCTGGAAACATTTCTGCAATGATTTGTTAACATGAATGTTGATGCTCAGCGCTGCACGTTTTAACTTGGTAATTTGCCTTTCATGATATTTTAGCTCCTAGTTTTGTAGTAACCGTCACTTTTTTCCTGTGAAAACCTCACCTAAATTTGAATGGCCCGTCATGTTGACAAAAATAATCAGCGCTTTTGAAACATAAAAGGACGGCCTCGCCACAAGTTTCTTTTTTGCAAAGCCGAAACATTCTGCGGCGCAGTTATGTAATACTTAAACTACTCCTTCAGAAGATCGCATTGGAAGTTTTAAATTATTAACGCATTGGAGCGCGGAGGGAATTTTGCAACGCGACCATGCGAGCGAATGTGATGGAACTATTTAAAACACCCAATGTGGTGATAGGATTTGGCTCGGCTTTGGAGCTCGCATCGCAGAGGGATAACATCTACTACTCAGTGCTCCGTGCTATCAGCAGAATGGGCCGGACGGATCTCGGCTCTGGAGCCTCGTATGATATGCCCTTGCTTATTGATAAGGTGGCACATCATGAAATGGAATGGTACATATTAAGCAGGTGTTATCCAGGAAGACGTGGGGACCCGGGGTAGGGGGAGCAGGGGCAGCGGCCCATTTCTGGTAAAACGTAGCATTTTCACCCCTTGCCTGGCGGCGGGGAGGGACGATTAATCTACCTTTAACCTCATGGTATTGCAGGAAAAGTCGATTCAAATCAGGGCTTTCGCTCCTTTGAGTGAGTTTCGTGCCGCTGGATGACCCTATGTCTCCATTGCCTTTATCTGTTCATGCGAGGATGGGGTCACTGCGCCGGTACGGCGTGGCGAGGATGCTGTGCCGCAATGCTGATGCGCTTAACGGGCTAGCAGCAGGCTAAGTGGCACACGCCAAACTTTAGCGGCGCATCGCATGGACACTGGACAATTAGATGCAGAATAGGCGCCACAAGAGTGATCGGGAAAGATGCTTAGGTGTTAACGGACCTGCATTGTCTTTTTAGTGAAACTGATCCCGTACAACCAAAATATTCAAAGGGTGGTATGTCTTGATCACGGAAATTGTTCCTTGCAGCTACCAGCAACATTATATATAAATGAAAGAAAACAGTTACCTTATGCTTATTCGTCGGTGATAAATGGGAAAAGGTAAAACGATAGTGACGTGAAGAATAGTGACATAAAAACCACCAACGCACATTATTGAAGACATGCTGCAGCGTGCGATATTTTAATATTGGTTCGCCTTGTCTTCATCTAGCGGGGCCGGTCTCAGGTCCTGACAATCAGTTGAGATGAGGATAATCACATCTCATGGGCATAGGTATACTCAGGATGTGTTTCATTTTGTTTGCTGAACCCTTCCGCGTTGCGTCCACAAGATTTCGCCCTTTGTTCTCGAGCGCTCGAAGCCTCAGACCTCACGGGGTTTGTCTGTTTGCACAACCAGGCCACACTCCCGCGGTCTCGAAGTGTTTTCGGAAAGTTATGCCGTCGGAGCCCGCCGAACGGCACAGAGCCAGCAGCGGCACCAGCTACGCCGCGGGCGTCAGCCGCCCCCCCCCCCCCCCTCCCCTCTCCGGCGGCACGTCGGGCCGTGACGTCACCGGACCGAACTGGGCGACGTGTTAAGCGTCGCGCCTGACGCGCCGACGGCGCCGCGCAGGCCAGAGCCACGTTCGCCCGCGACGGCGCGCTGACGCTTCGGCCCGCCGCGCCCTTGTGGTGTGTCAGCAATCGAGGCAAACCCCCTGGGAGCGGAAATGTTCCCGGAGCTCGTTCCGTGAGGTCTCGTGCCGACCATCCCGCGCTTGGACGGGTTCGAGATCGGCACCCCCGGCGAGCGATCCGCACAGTCCGTCCTAGACCTCGAGCGCTGTTCGTACGTATTGCCCGGCCGCTATACTCTCGGACGCCGGCGCCTATCCGCCACTCCACTGGCCCATGGTCGCAGCCGGCGACGCACCGGAGCGCGCGCCTCGCGAACGAGGTGATCGCGTGTCCGCTGGGTGGAGCTCGGGGCTCGTCCGCCTCCGCAGCGCGCACCGCCGCGGTCGGCCGGGGTCACCGCAGCGGCCAGCGCTGATGAGTCTGCCCGCGCCGGAAATGATGGTGTGGCCGAGCCCTGTGCTCGTCCCGGATTAGTTCTGGAGCAGTGTCGTCGGCTAATCAGGCCGGAGAGGCTTAGCCGCCGGGAGCGGGGGATGGGGACGGCGTTTTTTTTTTTAGATGTTCGGGCGTGATGGCCAGGAGCAGGAGAGCTTCTGGATTGTGATAAGAAGTCCGCTCTTCCGCGTGTCCTCGTCGATGTTCAAAAACTGAACAGACCAGCGATCGTCAGGATAGCCATTGCAAGATTGCTGAAATTATTTGTCGAAACATGGCAGCCCTGTTCTTGTCACAAGCCCTCATTGGCAAATGATACTGGCTGACATTTCGCTGTTCGTCTATGGCTAGGTCTATAAGCTGCATTTCTTCCGCAACACACTGCGCGGTTGTTTCGAGACTCGAGATACTCCTAACTAGCACAGCTCATGCATGTTCAATACGTGGGTTTGCTTACCTTCCTTGATGTGTTTCGAAAGGGGTGGTGTTATCTTTTTCTTCTTGATTTAGTTAACAAATAATATGTGAATCTCCTGTCACAATAACTTGAGTTACTAAGCAATAGCGCACTTCGATCGGACTAGTTTGTGTCCAGCAGATTACTGTGAGGCTGCCTGCGTCTGTATGTAACGTGAGTTTTGGAAGCGTGGAAACATCCCCAAGAGGGTGTGAGCGGGCCAAATTCATGCCCAAAGCAAGTGTTTTCCTTCCATCGCACCACCGGCATTATGCTAAACTTACATACAAAAATGGATGGAAAAGCAGTCCCCACCCCGTCTTGGGCTGGATTCCATCAGAGCTTATTGTTAGTTCTGATGTTTCTCCTGTTTTCAACCAGTTTTGAAACATTTACAGGAGATAGCGATTCCAGTAACGACACTAACGGTTCCAAAAGACAGAACCATGCAAAAAGTGTCCATACCGCGAGTTATTCTCGACACAGATGTTGCAATGGAGACGCAGTATAATACTGTTATCGCTTCTGCCGTCGTGTCACTGACTGGTCCATTTATCAATTGTAATCAAGGTTAACGATTTTACGGCGTGAGTCTATGTGATCGAGAACGTGTTACGGTTGGTTTGGACTCCTAAAATGGCCAGTCCGGTGCCACGTTCTCACTTGACTTCCTCCGAATACATGTCCCTCTGCCTGAGCCAAAAGACGACTTGTCGCGGACCCTGCCGATCAGTTGACCATCACTTTGTACTCCAGTCTCACTCCACTCCCTCTCCGTACTGCCGCCGTGGTCGCCAATGAATGATCTCCCATTTCGCTATATCCATCGCGCTAGAAAACGAATTTGCACCCGGCAGGATCACATTGCACTCAACAGTGCCACCAATGCGAGACTCCTGTGCCACGCGTTCACTAATGTTCTCTAGCCTGGCAAATTAGCACGCCCTTGTTGACATTTCTCGCAAGCGACGACCCACCTGCCGCTCACCGGCGTGGCCCAACTGCTGGCACCGGGGTCGACCTCGGTCCGTAACCGTAACGGTCCATGGCAGACATCCCCTGATCATGATCAAGTGCGTGCGTGAGTGTCGTCTGACCGCAGCCCGGGCGACTCGATCGGCCCTCAGCCACGCGACGGCAGTCTGACGGCCACCACACCCTGGCGGCAGCGGCTCCTGCACGGTCGTGCGATCTCCCTGGCCCACATGGAGATGTTTCCACAGGTTTATTTGGAGAATATTCCGACAAGTGCCTGCAACTTATTGGATTATAGACATGGTATCGATGTGAAGCCAGGGCTAAACAAATATGCCTCTAGATTTTAACGCAACACCCGCGTGTCGGGGTGAGACAAGTGTTATATTGCTGAGCTGCAGCTCCACATACATCGCGTTTTTGGAGCACAATACGCTGTGAAGACAAAAAAAAAACTGGGATAAGCACCTAAATACAGTAGTTAATGCTGTTCAGAAGTGAACGCAAGAAAAAGAAGGTTTCCTCTCCACGAAAGTACTAGTTGAGTATCACTCGTTAGACTAAAGTGGGCTAAAGCACCATCATCAAAATTGGTATTAGTCAAAACATGCCCGTTTAGCATCAGTGCGGGGATCAACAGACACTTCGCGCTCCCCCTCCACTCCTCTCCA